TATATAAAAGTAGCAGGGTAACAGCATTATAGCTGACAGCACTGTCGTCCCATAGAGATTTATGTTTTTTAAAAATATATCCGTGACTATTGTAGTCATGCCTCTGGTGGCCAATACTTCTTTCTCTTACCTAGTTACAAATACAATTAGAGGAAACAGGACTACAATATTAGCAATGGACTAGTGAATTAACTAATAATTTCTTTCAAAAGTTTAAGAATTTTCTTTAATTTAGCATCTTCATACTTTCACAGACTTGAGAGGGACGTATCCAGCCTTTCCATACAGTCTTCAAAATAAACTCAGAGGATTTCTAATGTGGAAAGAAAGGTGTAATATTGCTATCTCCTAACCAAGCTTTTTGTGTGCTCTTTCTTGTGAACAAACACATTGATTTGACATTCCTCTGGGAAAAAATGACTAAAAAAAGGTTAATATATGAGTCAGTTGCAGACACAAATCATGCAGCTATGAAAGGTTGTTGCTTTTTAAGTTCTTTTCAAAGATGCTTGCAGGGATCGTAGAGGGAAAGATTTAAAAGACCCTCCTTTAAGACTAACACATGGAAAAGTCTGGTGTCTAAAGTGTATCTGTTTCTGCAAGGGCAAAATGGGCAGGCTTTTCGATAACAATCATAAAAGAATTTTACTGCACTTGCCTTTGTCCCTGGCAGAGAACTGGTGGTGGGAGCTACCACAGTGTCTCCTCCCTCACTAGGCTTAGCCTTAGTGGCTTGGGAAGGAAGGGCTGTTCCCTACCTCACTAAGCTGAGCCCTAGCAGTGTGGGAAAGAAGGATTTTTGAAGGTGTTTATTCTCCTGGTTATCACTGCAACTCTCCTAATAGCCAAAGTTTAACTTAGGCAAGTCCTTTTACCTAGGTAAGATCTAGAACTTTGTGAGATCTTCAGCTGTGAGATTTTTTTAATGTACAAAATATATTTTTTAATACTCTTGAGGCTTCAAAATGCAGCTTGCCTATATGATCCAATACATTTTAAAGGTTGAAAAACAGAATGCAAATCAAAAGACTGCTTATTTTGAAGTTTTCTCTTTTATAGTGTTCTCATATTTTGTTTGGATTGGCAACGTTGTTGTCTAGAAAGACACTTGAAAAATAAGTGCCTCACATAGCTACTTTGTCTGTTTTACTTACTTTATGTAATCAGTAGAAGATGAGAAAGCAGAAGCCGTGTCTGTGCATCCTAAAACCTGTGAATCTTTAAATTACTAGAATTTGGTCCCTTCTACAGCAGTTGGTTGCTATGCCCACTAGTTTACAGTGGTTTGGTGATTAGATCTATGAAAGATTAATTTTCCATATAATACTTCTGAAATTACTTGTACTACACAGCTATTCTTTGTTACAGAGCTTCAGGGCTGTTTTAACCTGTGTTCTACAAGAGAAACTAATTCAAGGCAATGGTCGTGCACGTGCAGACATAATCTAACCTTGTATGGGTGTTAGTCCAGTGCAGCTGGAAATTATGGGGAAGATGATCCTTAGGTCATCTCCTTTTTGCTTTAGGCTTCAGAGGCAGGCCTGACGAGGGTTTCTTGGAAGTGAGCAAGAACATGAGGGTATGCTAAAATCTTTTCACAGGCTCATGAAGATATATGTGAGTAATAAAGGACTCTGGTTCACATATAGGGTTGACGTACCTGGGACAACAGGAGGGATCCTGACACCTCAGCTTCTCCTGTCCGCCCTCTCTTCTGGAAAGTCACCTCTGCTTGAGGAGTGGTTCTGGTGTTTCTGAGAGATCAACAGCCACGGTTTTAATAGGCTGTGCTTTAATGTGAACCAAAAATCAGCATTGCTTTTCCCCGTTGCATCAGGCTGTAATATTTTAAAAGGTTCAGTAGCTGCCACACAAGGAGGTGAGCCTGTGTGGAGAGCAAACATACACACAAGTCCCGAGGGAAACCATTGCAGGTACAAATACAGTCCAAGGATAACTGATTGAACTATGAGGGAAGAACACAGTAAATTAAAAATCGTACCAAGAATGACTTTGAGACCCAGTGTGGCAATGGACTGAGGGTAACATAATGACCATGGAGTGAGGATGCAGATTTTACAAATTTACAGAAGCATGAGCTCAGACACATCATCATTTTGTTTTAAAAATCTCCTCCTCTTGCCCTGGTACAATTACTTCCAACAAGTCCTCTCTTACTGTCTGTCTTTTCCATCACATACCTTATCCTCACATTTACAAAATACGCAAAACAAAAAAAGGCAGTACTGATCTCCTACTTATTGGAAATGTTTGTCTATTGAATATTGTGCTAACTTCCAGCAGTATTGCCTGATCACTAGAAATATATTTAGTTACTGCACATTCTGTTTAAATATTCAAGATTATTTACATCTATACCTTCGTATTATGTATATGTTACATTAAAACAAAGTCACGTTCACCCTATTCTGTTCATTAGAGTAAATATGGATAATGTATATTTCCTTGATTAAATTCAGGTAAGTATGTCAACATTCTATCAAATCAGCAGTATGCGTCCTCTAACTTGTCTTCTGTACCAAAAAAGGTGGTGAAACTGATAGAGTGGGCTGGACAGGTCAAGGGTGAATTGAATGTCAGTGAGGAACTACCTTAATCCTCATGAAAATGCCGGAGTTGTGATAAAGCTCCTTCCCCATTCAGCCAGGTCCATAGCAGTAGTTTGCAGAGGCAGTGTCAAGAGTCCAGTCCTCTCTGAATAGGTTCCTTTAGAGATTCCACAGGTGGAAGGTTTCATGTTTGATACAAAATTTACTTTTCTGAAGTTACTGTCAGGAAACATGGAGGACCAGGTGCTCCCAAAGGGACGAGAGCTGGGACCCATGGGCAATAACCTGACTGGCATGACAGGGGCCTCACCATCCAGGGCTCATGGTGATGAGGCAGGTCCACAGGGCAGGATCAGGACCTGTAAAGGTAACCAGAGTCAGCGTCTGCCCCCAGTCAGACATAGCCCTGGGATGACTAGATGGGGCCATGGGGACAGTCCAAGGCCCGGTCGGGATGCCAGCCCATGACATGATTCAGCTATGTACTTAATCCCAACACAAGTGAAAATTGCACTTAGCAGAGTAGAGCAATTGAAATACAAAGTCGAATCACTTTACAAACGTGTTTCTCCTTGCCCATCACTGTACTATGCTCACTGTCATGACACTGGGCATTCCCAGCTGCTGAGAAGGAATATGTGGGTTGAAAGCAGCTCAAGCCTGTTGCTCTTCTCCGAGTTCTTTTTGTTTGTTGTTCAGTTTTCATGGGCCATGTACACACGCAGACACCCAGAGCTGGTCTGGCTAACTCGGGAAACATTTGTACTTTTTTTATTAACTCGGGGACAAAGTTACACAGCTGGTTGGTTCACTCAACTAATGCAACCATTTTTCTGGAACGGAGGTGACCTTCCGGTCCCCTTCGTGCTAAGTTCAGCTTTCTTCGCAATATCTGTGGTCAGTCACTCCATACGCT